TAATGTCCCGTAACCATCAGATCCCTGCCTCACCAGTCACCACCCCTCTACCTCAATAAATAAACACACATATATTTTATATGTATATATATATATATATATATATTGTTACCTTCAGTGATTTTTCAAAGTGAATATCTCTCCCCTTTTTTATTAAAAAGAAAAAAATTATCATCATTAATAAGAAAAACTTGTGATAAACATTGAGAAAAACTCAACTCATATCACATTTTCTCCTTAGAGGTTGATTTTCAAGGATAAGGCTTTTTGACAAGTCAATTACTCTCCTTTTATTCCAAATTAATTGAGAACTAATAAGGTGATCAGAAACTATATGATTCCAGCCAATCAAAACATATTTCATATCTAAAAAATAAAATAACTATTTTAATATGACGTAAAGTGATATTCTTAAGTTTGAGATATTTAAGATGAAACGATTTGGTTTCATTCCTTAAGTATGTGCATATTAATATGTATAGTTCTTGATTGGTTTTAGTGTGCTTACTGCATAATCGCAAGTTAATCCATCTTTAACTTTGGAAAACAGGTTAGAATCCAATAAGAATCTGAATTATACCCTCCATTTATATATATCCAAATTCATGACACCCTTTCTGACTTTATTTTATTTTTCCCAATTCTGTCTTTTCAAAAACAAATCTCTCAAGTTGAAAGACAGTTGTGCCAATTCTTCACCACATAAATAGAGTTGAGCTAATTCATACTCAACCATTCTTTGTCAAGCAACCAATCTTGAATATTAAGCTTTCAGAAGGTGACAAGTCTAAACAAAACAAAATAGAAATTTCAAGTTGTAAATGAACACATGACGGCTCCGTTTATTTGGATAAAATATATGTATTTTTTTTTATGTTTGATTGTTGTAAAATATTTACAAAGAAAAAAAAATATTAAAACTTCACAAAAATAACTAACTCAATTTTTGGCAAGTTATTTTATGTGCTCAAATACACTTGACCTCATTCTCGACCTAAATCTTTGCCAAATATTAAAAAAATAAAAATAAAAATAAAAATCTTTTCTAAAAAAAATAGCCGTCATGTCAATTTCTTTTGTTGTTAATTCGATTTTTCATCTCACCATATACGACTAAATTTGCACGAATGGCAGACATAGTGTATATACGGCACCAAAAGGAAACTATTCTTGAATGGACTGATTCAGAAGAAAGTATATCTGAGCTTCTCTCTCCCAAGAAATTCCAACTCCACATGGAGCATTGTGATGTGTGTGTGTGCATGTGTTGTTTATCTACTAAAACAAATTAATAAATTCATGTTTCAATCATCCACCAAATTATCTAAATTGAACCATCAAATTGTAGCAAGTACAAATAATTTTAAGCGAATGCAATTAAAATCTCAGATGTTAAAATGATTCAAACACTAATACAATGCTCCGCATGGAAGCTCAAAAAATATCATTATTCAGTTATAATCTTGTCGTTGATACAAAATTATGTCATTACACCAAACAATGCCCCTAAAATTTTTGAAATAACGATCTGATTATTAATAAAAGTGGAAAACAAAAATCATGTATATAAAAAAACGTTTAAGAAACATTTCCGTTTTTTATAAAGTGTATATCAATCCCTGTATTTTAAAATTTTGTAGCAAATTATCCCATAATCGTCCATTTTGTCCAATTTTTTTTATTATTATTATAAAAATTCCAATATACCCTAAAGGGTATTTTAGGTATTATATTTCGTAAAAAAAATTTTATTTATAAAAATGTCAAAAAAATTATAAAAACCCCAAAGATTTTGAAATCTATGTTTTTTATTTTTATTTTATCTTGAGGATATTTTAAATATTTCGCTCTTCAAATAAAAGAATTGTTCTTATTTGTTCAATTTAAAATATCTAGGGTGTTTTTTGAGTGCCAATAAGTATTTGCACAAGGAGTATATATATATATATATTTTTTGGGCACTTTTTCTAATAACTGTGTAGGATGGATGGATGGATGGATGGATGGATAGAGGGTTGAAGATAATGACTATGTATGTTATGGAATTGAAGCATCATCCCCATTGCTGAGAAAGTGAAATGGTGAATAAGCATAGTTTGTCTTGTGATACCAAACTTGCAATTGCCTGTTTTGAGCCAAGTAACAAATACAAAATTAGTTTGTCTTTTACTTTCATCCACGCATATACATATATAGATATAGGTGGTGAGTTGTAGTGGGCTCCCAACAAACTGATGATATACACATAGATAGTGCTGCCCTGTAGACCAAATGGTGTCCAAGAATTATGAGTAGTCAGTCACTAATAATGCTTGGTATATTGGGAAGTGGTGCTAGGGCTCTATTCATGATTTTTAAATGTTTGCTTCTGGTCGACAATAAACATACCAACTCACTTTATTATTATTGGTTTTGATGTGGATAAAAATAATGGTGTAGGAATGTGAACAAGCGTTACAAGTAACTTCAGTGTTAGTGGCTGGCTCTCTCTCTCTCTCTCTCTCTCTCTCTCTCTCTCTAGGGTTAGTGCCTTTGACCAATCCATGATAAGGGAAAACATGTGGGTATGATAGTTATTCAGTTACTTACGTTTTATTCAGCTTTCAACTCAACTTCAAACAGTGTCTACGATCTCCTCCATTTAATAATGTACACTCTATTGTTTTTCTCCTCAATATATTTGTTTATTATCTATACATATATACTTTTTTGGAAAAATGCTAAATCTATATGTTAAAGACCAAAATGCCCTAAATCTTTTGGAAAACTGTTTGATGCCCTAAAATGACAAATCGCATAATTACAATCAGACAAGTTGTACATTGAAGGTAAAAAAAAAAAAAGAAAAGAAGAAAAGAGTGGAAAAGAAGGCAATTTGTTTTGTAGTTTGAGGATTCTGCTAAAAATGACAAATCACATAATTACAATCAGACAAGTTGCATTGAAGTAAAAAAAAAAAAAAAAAAAAAAGAGGTGGAAAAGAAGGTGCAATTTGTTTTGTAGTTTGAGGATTCTGCTAAATCTATAGGAAGCAGGTTGTTTGAGATAAGGTGCATCTGTACCTAAAGCAACCAGCCAAATGATAACATTAATTAAATACGAATTTCAAAAGATAACGATGCAAATTCCATCTTTTATATCATCGCTGTTTGGCACAGTGGAGCAAAGTGGTGTGACGCAGCTTATCAATTTGGATCTTTCTGTGGTGCTACTGAATTGGAGACCCTTTCTAACCTTCATCTTCAAAGCACATGATTTGACGACAAAGTCTCAGAACTAGCTCAACTCAACTGTCTTCTTCAATATATTATAATAATAATATAATATGTATATACACAAATATAGTTATAGAGAGAGAGAGAGAGAGAGAAGAAGGGGGGTACAATTATTGTTCTCTCATAATTAGTGGCGAGCAAAGATTAGAAATTACATAAAATGAAGCCCACGCCAGTGGCCTTCTTTTTCTGGATTATACATTTGGCATGCCCCAAAAGGGAATGGTCTTTCTCCTAAAGGACAGATTGTCCCATATGACATACATGTGAGAGCTCTCTCATTCTTACCCATGCTCGTGACTTTTGTGATGATGATGATGATTATGAGTGCGGTGTGACAAGAAAATTGTCCCACTCCCGAAGATGGTAGGGACACCCTTTATTGGTATTATTAAAATTTTAAATTTCCAATTACACCATCATATTAACCATATCTATTGGATCTTTTATCCAAACACATATATCCCTTGTTCCTACTACTACTACAGAGGCCTTTTTTACTCGGGGAACAAACACGCAATCCCCTCGTTGCTCAATCCATTGCATGCATTGGGGATTGTCAACTTAATTCAACAACTATTGGGATTTCAAAGTCTTCATGCATCATTTTCATTTTAAGATCAACAAAGTATAAAAATTGAACAAAAAAATAGGCATACTGCGGACAAGCATGATCCAAATGTCTCATGTTCGTTCGTTCAACTTCTATAAGCGTCAAGCCATTGCTCAGAGCTTACCCAGTACCCGTGATTTGAAAGTGATTCCCAGGGCCTACCAAAAATTGGCGAGAAAGCCAACAAAAGAAAGGGACCACATAGCGAGAGGAATAACAATTTCCAGGAAAACCCAAAAAGCAACCAGAAGTACCCATCAATTTTTAAATTGGAAGACAAAAATATTGTTGTAACATTCTAAATCAGCAACCACAAGATGACACAATGATACCATCATCCACCCATTTATTCTAAAATAAATATAGTATTTTCTTAGTTTATTATGGTTTTGGCCTAGCACAAGAAGTCGCCAGATTTTAGCAACAAGGAATGAATTCCAAGAACTCCTATAACCTAGCAGTAAGATCAGGACCAGTAAGCCATGTCGGGTCTGAACTCATATATATGATTAAGGTGGTCGAGTGAGTAGTGATGCCTGAATTTCTAAGCCTTGCCTTGGGGATAAGAAGTTCCCTCTGCGGGCAGCATCAGTACCCTTAACCATCTGAAAGCACCGAAAGTGTGTCACATACCTCAATCAAAATGTCTGGACCTACCTCCGCGATAGTGTGTATAATGAGCCACGTTTACCAAGATCAGGTGGCAACCAATCGCTCGAACCTAAATGTAAAGAACTCAAGTCTCAAACAGCATGAGCTGAAGTTCAAAAGTAAATGGTATTTCAATGACGGAAGCTAGAGGAGTTGATACTAGGCAATTATGAAAATTGATGCAAATGACATGACACTCTTGACAGGATCGCCTTCTAGTCCCCTCTCCCTTCCTCCGGTCAAACTTTTTCTACTCTGCAGTGTCGAACCCACCATGGATCTAAATGTTAGTCCATTAACAGGTACGTGTGCAGGTATCAGGCGTACCAGCAGTCCCCCTCCTGATACATCACATTACGTGCACACATGCACATGCGTACCTCACACACATACAGTGTCAAGTACAATCACCCAAACTTGCACCTCTGAGCATGTACACAAACACATGCATGTATCATAAATTTGGAGCACAAGAAGTAGGCTACAAGACCTTCATATTCCTTTGATAGTTTATGTACTACAACACTGGCAGGATTCGTCAATTTCACGATGTTAACCAGAACGAAGAACAGAAGGTTAACTAGGGTAAAAGAAGGAAAAAAAATAAAAGAAGACGAACAGAAGGTTGAAGAGGACAGAATCATACATGCATACAAAGTTACAAAGGCAACGTGACTTTTTCAATTATCATTTTGAACAGGCAATTAGATGTACTCACCTCTCCATGACCTTGTAAGCCAGCAATCAGAAGGGGACCTATCTAATCAATGGAACCCCACAAATAATCACAAATAAAGCAAGTCCAATATATGGAGAATGATTCCGGTACATCTCTTGTATGCATAAATGAAACACCGTGCATGCATGTGTATATCTTACTCACTCCCCAAGTTCAGAGAACCATCTTTCATCAGTTTCGTGCTTAAACTGTTGAATCTCCCTCTTGAGTAATGCCGAGAAGCCTTTCTCCAATCGGTCCCAGTTTTCATCATAGCCACAAACTCATCATAGCTTATTAGCCCATCCTGCATTTGTAAAACAAGTAAATGTAAGATATAAATCTGTAGGATCAAAATTAAGTGAATTGTGAACTATTGAATCTTCACCTTGTCCGTGTCAACTTCTTGGAAGATGTCATTGGCTACATCAGTACAATCATCTCCATCTTCCATCAAAGCATCCCGAAGCTCATTTGGTTCAATGTAACCATTGCCATCCTTATCAAAATAGGAGAAAGCCTTGTGAAGGTGTTCATCATTAGCCATCCTTTGTAAATGGAGGGAAACAGCAACAAATTCTCCATAGTCCAGAGTTCCTCTTCCATTAGTATCTACCTGTTGACAACAAAGTTGGTCATTCAAAATCTAAAGCGATGTTTTACTACCGGAAAAACTTTCATGACTCTGAATACTTTCTATAGTTAACCAACCATTAACAAAATGATTTTCACAAAGAAGGATTTTCTATGAGCCACTGGAGTTATTTCTTACTAATTATTTTAGACGACTTCTATGGAAAATTTAATGTTGAAAAGTGGCTGATTTTCAACCTCCATGCTGGCATTTCGATGGCTATTTTTCAACACCATAATGGCAGAAATGAAAAAAGTTATATAGCTGAAAATGATTTAGAAAATTAATCACTCCTGACCTGTATTTTACAATATTTATCTTGCTTTTGGGATCCCAAAAAGTTTAAAACTTAATTACTCTCAAATGGCAGAAATAATGATGCTATAGGTAATTACTTTAAAAATAATAATAATAAGAAGATTCTGAAAATCTACTTTAAATTTTATATATACCATTATTTTGCTTCAGGATAACAAATTGGGAATCAGTACAGTGCTACAGGCACGCACATGTTTCTGGAGAAGTCTGTTTAAAAGAAAACTAGATCTACATGACAGTTCTTAGTATTGGCACAAACGTTTCTTCTCACTGTACTGAAGGACATGACGATCAGATGGTCAAACTGCTAGGCTAGGCTCGTTTAATTGCATTGGTAGTTAAAGATACCTCCCATGAGATCCTTCAGACGTTAGAACTCAGATCATTGGGTAGGAGTTCAAACAAGTTGAGCTAAAGGAGGAAGGTTCAAGAACTTGGCTTGTTATGTCAGACAAGCTACTTGGCTCAACTAAGATCATTTTGTAGTGATTAAGTGGTTAAACGACCACTAGTTTGTTGGTTAATTTTGTTGCACAATTTATGACAATAACAGGAGAAATGAAGTCAGTCGACAGTCAGAAGTCAAAAAGGAACAGAGCCTTGACACAGTCTGTTACCACACACAAACAAAAGAGGAAAAAAAAACATTTTGATGCTAGTGTCTTGTGTCATAGTATTTAAGTATGTCCTAATTGGAGTATTGAAAAGCTCTAGAAAGCAGATAATTTTAGAATTTAATCTTGACGAAGTACTTTCAAATTGCATGTAGCTACAAAATAACCTAGTTTTGTCAATCCTTTCTAATCTATTCCAGGAATTATTGAGATTGGCATGCTAGCTAAAATGTCAAGACAAAGTTTTGAGCTCAAGCTCAACTTGGCTGAGTTAAAACAAGCTTTTGACAAGCAATGTTCCACCGAGCTTAAGTAGCTAGGCTTAATCTAGATCCTATCGCATTCTCATGGTACGTGATATCTACCTTCTTGTAGAAATTCACATAATGGACCATTGGTTAGTTTCTAGACACTCTTGTATGGCTACCATATGAACTGATTTCAAACAATCACATTAAAAAAGAGAAGATGAAGACATAACTATGAATAAAGGTGGAGGTAAGCAAACCCGGTTCTGCTGTGCTTGTGGTGTATTTGGAATGACAACAGACATTCGTTTGATGATGTAATGGTTTCAGTGGTGAAAAAAAAATTGGGATGTTTTTGAGCTATCTAATTTTTAACTCTCTAGGATATTTTATTTTGATTGATTTGTTAATGTTTTTTTTGGTAAATATCAGGAAATTGTGTATCTGTAGCTTTTGTATTTTCCCTTTTATCTTAGTTTTCATTTCCTCTCAGATTATACATTGTGTGCTTATAGGTTGCATGGCTTGCGCCCCTTCACACATTGCTTTATTTATAATAAGTAATTTTAATAAGAACAATAATAACAATAACAACAACAATAGCAATAAAGATTGTGCACCTATTCTATGTGGTTGTTGGTGTCAACATAAATGGCATGATTCATAAAACTTTAAAAGTGAAACTTATAAATGATTATCAAGCATGGAGAACAAGTAGACTCACAGCTTCAATAAGCATCTGTACTTCAGACTCTGCAAGCTGCGAACCAAACTTTTTTAGTCCAGATTTTAGTTCCTCAATTGAAACAATACCGTCATTATCAGTGTCCATCTTTTGGAACAAATCCTTGATGTCTTCAACTTCTTCAGTGGACAAGAAATCAGCAATAACCTGTATATGAAAGTGCCACTTGTAATATTTCTCGAAGTAGTGACAAGAAGACAATGAAAAGGTGTAGAGTAATCAACCAACCCTAAGGGCTTTTCTCTTGAACCTATTCATCATTGAAAATTGCTTAAGTCTAGACTTGACAACATCTCCAAGAGGAACGTTTGGAGCCTTTTTAGCATTTTGAAGCCAAGGATGCTCTGAGAGAAAACACAAGTTTCACATTAGGTAAAACATAAAGAACTTCTAACATAAACGTTCAGATGCCACAACAGCTAATATTCCTTCAAGCATTTACATCAAGTTGAATATTACAAAAACAAATGTCTATAACATCCTTATCCAGAAAAAAGTCAATATTTATAGGGTATTCAAATATTGCATATAATTTTTATGTCCACTTGCATACAATAAATATTGATATCATGCACAATGTGTTATCCTATTGAAATATGTTGTGTTCCATCAATTCTAAGAAGAGTCGCATCAACAAGAGAGATATAAAGTGTAAGTTTTAATTAGAAGTTAGATGTTTACGAAACATTTATGATTCTTATTCTTGACGTCATATTTTTTATATGCTCTTTGGCTGTCATTAACCAAGTAAAATCTACGAAGAAAAAAAAAACGGTGAACCTTAACAAATATATCATTAGTGTAATAAACAACAGAACTTCTAGATTTCTTGTATACAGTACCAAAAAACATATGCTATGGACATGACATAAATGTTATGTTACTTGGGTAGAAATCGTTATCTACAATATTGTACATCAAGTTTGTTCACTTAGTTCTCCCTTTAGCATCACCCACTCATTGAAACTTGTCACAATTGTCTCTTATTGAACAAGCATATTTATTGATACGTTTGTATTTTGATTCATTCCAAAATCATCCACAGACATCAACATTCAAACTTTAGCATACATATTCAAAAGCAACAAAATTTAAAGCCGAGAAGACTTCCCATTCTGGATTCAAAAGTTTTATGACAATTAATGAGTGAACAAAAGGATATCTTGCTTTCCTTCTCAAAGCATTTAGAAGGATGAATTACAAAAAGCCCAAAACTTTTGAGTAAATATTGGATAGACTCCATATTTGTGGCAGAAAGGGGGAGAAAGAATTTAGTTGCATCACTTTACCCCACTCTTACTATGTAGTTTTGCCCCTGCCTGTCTCTCTATCGTGTAAAAGCACACATGTGGTAGCCAAAACACAAATACAAGATGTTCTAAGACATTGGCATTACACTTGTCCCAAGGCTTTTGGTATTTGTGACCAGGCTCCGTGGAGTTCAGATTATTAAGCAAGCATTAGTGCTCATGTTAATTGAAGCATCACTGAAGTTGCATTTGAAAGCTAACTCCAGCATTATTGGCACTGTACAAGAATGTTCTTCGAACACTTTTTGGACATGTCAATTATATGAAAATAATTTTCATAAAGTTAGAAACTTACATAATATTTCTTAAACAATCCACCCCCAACCCCACCCCCACCCCCACCCCAAAACAAAACAAATGATAAAAGATATCACAAACACTTCTTAATAGGAGTTTTGTTGACCATATTGGAAATAAGATGAAAAAACCCAAATTGATCAACTTTTTTTCTTTAACAAAGAGAAGACTTAAAGTTGATAGTGTTCTCATGGGCTACATAAGTCAAGCATGCAATCAAAACTTTTTGATAAGAAAAATGATATAATTGTGAGGAAAGGATGATAAAATAATTGGTAAATTAGGGATGTGCATAACAACTATATGAATTATATTTATCAAGTTTCCTATTTCCGAACAATGAATTGCAATTATGAGAACATAGAAATCAAAGTTATATGCTAGTCCTATATAAGGCATGTACGCATATATATTTTGCACTAGAGTGTCTGCATCCCACCTTTCTGTATGAACACATATATATACATTTAACATTTCATGTTAGTGCATTGGTATTCATGTACATGCCTCTTAAGTCGCATTCTTATTCTGAAATATCAAGCATACCAAGAAAGGCCAAAGAGTAGATGCTTCTTTAAAACATCTAGTGCAAGTTTGTGACTCCAAAACAAACTTGCATATACGGCAATCTATCACTTGGATTTCATTGGACAACTCATATAGCTTCTTTTGGAACCCTATTAGATTTTGAGTGGAATGAATTTAGGAGTTTGTACGGCGAACCAACCACCTTAAATTAGACGCTCTTTATAGAAATCCATTACAGTTTTGTGTAACCAACAGAGTAGATAAAGAAGATGCTCTCAAATGATGCAAAAACTCAGATGCTAGACTGGCTTCGCAACCAAAAACTGCCTACTGCACATCCATTGCCCCTCTCCCCTCTTCACTAACAGAAAAAACACATAAAAACGAGAGAGAGAAAGGAGAACACAGTACAAGAAGGAAAAAAAAAAAAAAAAAAGATGTATGATAGTAAACAAAAAATTACATCAAATGCCAAAATCCCAAAGATGCAATGCATACTTAAATGCAAAAAAGTGTAATGCAGACAAACAAGCATACCAAGCACTTGTTTTGCAGTTAGTCGAAGCTTCGGGTCTGGTTCCAACATCAGACGGACAAGATTCTTTGCACTCTCTGAAATATTTGGCCAAGGTTCTCGTTTAAAATCTATTAGCCCACGCAGAATGGCTTGTGCAACCCCTTGTTCGGACTCTACATTGAAAAACTTGCTTTAGGTAGATGGTAAAGCATTTTACCAGTAAAATGCAGAAAGAGCAGCACTAAAAATCGTGGAAGGGAGAAAATGTGAACAAACCAAATGACATATACATGGCCATGTGCCCATATATACTGGCATGCCATGCACATATGTGTCTGTGTGTACAGTTCCCTTGCTGGCATGTTTATACCATCACACACATACATGCAGAAAGAAAGAGAGAGAGAGAGAGAGAGAGAGAGAGAGAGCACATTTCATATGATCATATTTACCAGCCCAAAAGGGAGGAACCCCACACAACAATATATAGAGGATTACTCCTGCGCTCCATATATCTATTTCTGGTCCATAATTCCGCTTGAGAACCTCTGGAGCCATGTAATACGGGCTTCCAACAATTTCAGAGAACCTCTCACCTAAAATTAAGAATTCAAGCATTAAAAAACATCAGTGAGAAATACGAAACATGTCTAGAAGTATGTACATGCATAAATTTGTCATTTTTCTAATTATTTGTATGATTCTAAGATCCTTGATCTGGTATAAACCATGTCACTCATATATGGCCTAAATCTCTAGAAAGTTATACTTACATGTCAATGTCAGAATTGTATAACACTCTAGCAAAATCAGGAGTTAGATAGTAGGACCTTGTACAGTGCATTGAGTGCAACTTCTGAAATAATAATGTTGACAAGTTCGAGAGCACCAGAATCAGTTCATACTTCATCCAGAGTTGACATTGGTATACAGATTTTTATACATTAAAAATCTGTATACCATCAACCAACAGTGAACAAATTAGACTGGCTAGAATCAAAATGTCAGTTTGGTTCAAAAAATAGAGAATTACATAAGACCGTTCTATGAGAAAAGACCATTAGCTCAGATTCTAGGGACAGTTGCCAAAAAAAAAAAACACCTATTAATAAAGCAAATCTTCGAATTGTGTTCTCTTTTCTCTGAGAACATAACACTGCTTTATAAATACTGAACCAAACACACCTTAGTCCTATACAAAGCATCTCCTTAAACAATTGTCCTAGCTAATTTACAATTTCTACACCTCAATTATTATTACCTCCAGAGGAGGGTTATCTCGTGCCGTTTTGGGAAGGGGAGAAGGGGTTGGTACTCCCTTGTTGCTAGGATCCCAGGATTCAGATTAAGAGTTCGGGACGGCAGGGGAATTCGTTTTTGGGAGTATCTGTGGTGTGGTGATCGCCCCTTGGCTTGTTATTTTCCCGATTCTTCAGGATTGTTGTTGATAGGCACGCCTTGGTTCCCAACTATTATCGGCTTGATAGCGGGAGTTAATTTGGGATGGGCGCTACTCGAGACATTTTTAGGATTGGGAGTTGGATCATGGATGATATCTTTTGTTTTTTGGAGCTTCTCTATCGACAGGAGTTTGATGGTGGAGGTCCGGATTTCCTTGTTTGGGTGCCTTCTTCCTAGGGAAGGTTCAATGTGAGTTCTCTGTTTAGATACCTCTCGGACTCTTCTGGGCCTGCGTTCCCATGGAAGGCAGTTTGGCATACTAGGGCTCCGCTCAAGGTGGCATTTTTTTCTTGGAAGTGGTTTGGGGCAAGATTTTGACGCTTGATAACCTTAGGAGGAGAAGACGAATCACTATCAATTGGTGTTGCATGTGCAAGAGTAAAGGAGAATCAGTTGATCATCTCCTCTTGCACTCTCCTCATGAGTGTTGGAGCCTTCAGTTTAGTCTTTTTGGAGTTCCATGCTAGGTCCGCAAGAGTCTTGATCGATGTCTGGAAAGGGTGCTTTCTGGGATCCCATGCCCGTATTATTGGAGCGTGGCGCCCTTATGCCTTTGATGGTGTTTAGAGGGAGCAAAACAGAAGATCCTTTGATGGAGAGGAATCTTCTATTAGGATCTTAAAATATCTTATTATTAGCTCTCTTTTTTGTTGAGTTATGAGAATATATTGTATATTTATAGAGGAGATAGTTGTTTTGGGGGTTCCTTGGGTTCTTAGGGTCCCTTGTGGCCTTTCTGTAGTTTTTGGGACGTGTTCCCCTTTTTGAACGCTTTCTAATACATTCTTAAAAATGATTATTACCTCCTATCACAGTTACTAAAAAAATAATAACTAGCATTCTTTAATCACAATGCATATTTCTACAAGATGGTATATAATAGAACCGAGTAAAAACACTACATTTATAAATCTTAATGTGATGTGTTTTGGTTTGCTTTTAGGCTGTCTCTGTTCTGAAAGTCAACGTGGGTAAGAGTGCGCTTGTCCCTGTGGGGGAGGTTCAGGAAGTGGATTCTCTGACTACTGTTTTAGGATGTGGGACGTGACATTTCCCTATTTTATACTTGGGTCTGCCGCTGGGGGACTCGGTCAGGAGGGTGGGAAGTTGGGACCCGGTGATTAAGCGGGTTGAGAGAAGATTGGCTGGTTGGAAAAAGCAATATCTCACCAAAGGTGGTAAAGATACGTTAGTGAAGAGTGTTTTGTCAAGCTTACCAACATACTTTCTTTTGCTTTTTCGGATTCCAGCCTCTATTGTTGGAAGACTGGAGATGCTCCAACGTAACTTCCTTTGGGGGGGTCGTGGGGAGGAGTTTAAGTATCATCTTGTCAAATGGGAGCAGGTTTGCAAGCCTCTTCAGTTGAGAGGTCTTGGGATTAGTAGACTGGCCCCTTTCAACAGTGCTCTCCTAGACAAGTGGCTTTGGAGGTTCGGCAATGAAAGACATAGATTATGGAAAAAGGTCATTTCTTGTCGTTTTGGGGAGGAGAGAGGGGTGGTTAGCTAGGCCTGTCAGGGCTGCTTATGGTGTGGGGGTGTGGAGGTCCATTGGGAAAGGGTGGGATGAATTCTCCAAACATATTAGATTCAGAGTTCGGGATGGAAGTTTTGTCCGGTTTTGGGAGGATTCCTGGTGTGAGGATAGGCCTTTGGTTCTTTTGTTCTCAAGATTGTTCAGGATTGCTGTTGACAAACATGCTGTGGTTGTTGACTGCTATCGCCTTGATAGCGGGACGTTGTCTTGAGATGTGCGATTTCGGCGATCTTTTCAAGATTGGGAGTTGGATGATGTCACTGGTTTGCTGGCCCTTTTGTACAGACAGGAGTTGGATGGCACTGGTGCGGATTCCCTGATTTGGGTGCCTTTTTCACAAGGGACTTTCCAGGTCCGGTCCTTCTTTGTGCGCCTCTCTGGTTTTCATGGTATTCCCTTCTCGTGGAAGACGGTGTGGCTTTCTAAGGTGCCTCTTAGGGTGGCTTTTTTTGTGTGGACTGCAGCTTGGGGTAAGATTCTGACTTTGGACAATTTAAGGAAGAGAAGACATATCATTGTTAATCGGTGTTGTCTTTGCAAGTGCTATGGAGAGTCCGTGGATCACCTTCTACTGCATTGTCTTGTTGCCTATGATTGTTAGAGTCTTATGTTTGGTTTGTTCGGCATACATTGGGTCATGCCTCGGACTTCTCAAGAGTTGCTTGATATCTGGAGGGGCCAATGGGTGGAGACTTAGGCTAGAGACTTCTGGAGGGTGACCCCTTTTTGCGTTTGGTGGAGCCTTTGGAAAGAGCGGAATAGAAGATCTTTTGATGGGAAGGAGTCCTCCATTGGAGCGCTGAAATTTTCTATTATTTGTACCCTTTTTTGTTGGGGTTGGGGGAGAGATTTTTCTTCTTTTGAGGATATTGTGGACTTTTTGAGCTCTTTGAGTCCATAGGTTCCATTTTTTTTTTGTGTAATTTGGGACATGTTTCCCTTTTGAACGCTTTCTAATACATTTTACTTATCAAAAAAAAAAAAAAACTTAATACCATATTCTCATTTCTTTCCTTGATACTCTGTTTTATATAAATATAATAGAGCCAAGTTTTTTTTTTGATAAGTTAATCGAACCGAGTTTTTGAGGACATGAATAGAAGGAAATGCCATATTGAATTAAGAACTCAATATGCATAAGATAAATTTAATGCTATTCATCACCTAATTCATTCCAACACAACAGATTTCAAAAGTTAATATATAACTTTAGCATTCGAATAGCATTTCACTAATCATCTACTGTAAAAAAAAAAAAAATGCCACTCTTGCATTTAGATCTACCTCATTGAAATCCAACTATTGGATTTGTGCAAGCCTACAACCATCGTACCACATTCTAAGTATCTAGTGTATTGTGTTACTGTTCTTGTTCAACATATAAAATGATCCCTTGTTTCATATAACATTGAAGCCCTCCCCAACCACATGGTAAAATACTTAAGTATATAAGTACTTATATTTTGTTCTTTAAGATGTATATTATTCTGCAATCAGATATAGGTTGTTAATGTTAACTACGCTGGGCAGTTCAAACCTTTGTTTACCTACAATAGCAACTGGTGGCAGGTTCCAAGTAATAAGATGATTAAAGAACACACTTTTTTCCTGCACATTACCCCACGATCAAGCTTCAACCAAATTGAAGGAGCGAGGAGACAGGAGGGTGAGTCGTAATAGCTTAACTAAGGTTCATTTGCTACAGATAGTAAACCTTTATTTCATTGTATATATTTCAAAAAATTAAGAGATCAAAAAAGTAACCCTCAAGTCAACTTATTCCCATGTGGATCCCGGGTGTGATGCCAGCAACTCCGCTTAGGAAGCATTTAAAATAAGATGAAAATTAGGAGGCAACCACATCAGCATTCTATTTGTACTATAAGAGTGAGGAAACCAATTAGGATCATTTAAGCAAAAGACCTATGTGCACTCAATGAGAGTGATAAAGTAGTTGTAGCCTTCTAATAAAATCTAAAAGGAAAGGGGAAATTAGGGTAGGGATCTGATCCTAATAACTATCAATGGGATAGAGAGGCACTACATCAGTATCTATGTGCTCTAAAGGAGAGAACAAACCAATTCTAGCTCAGACATTAGTGAAGCACAAAATTATGTAAACTACACTTAAGAGTCAATGCCTATTCTTTAATTTGCTTGACACGATCTTAAATGTGAACTTTTAGGATTATAGGTTCTTCATGATATCTAAAAAATTACTGTGCATATAAAGTTCCCCGAACAAGTCTTAGCCAACAAAACTTTATAATAGAAACATCTAGCTAAATATAGGAATCCTTTAGTAAAATAATTATGAACAAAGATATAATGTACAGATAAGGTAATTGCTATTACAATTCTGAACAGTAAATTCAACATATAACAAGTAAGGACATACTTTTATTGATTCCCCGCTTAACATAATGCTTAGTATCTAAGAACTTATACAGCTAATTTACTCTTTCAGAATTAAATATTACGCAAAAACAGTTTAAAATTTTACCTGGGTTGAAGAAGATCGACAAGCCAAAATCAATGGCTTTTAAAGGCGAATTCTCCTTCTTATTCGCAAATAAAAAGTTCTCCGGCTTCAAGTCCCGGTGGATCACTCCATGTTTGTGGCAGAGTTGTACAACCTCCACAATAGTCCGTGTAACAGCTGCGGCGGCGCGCTCGGTATAATGCCCGCGAGCAACAATCCGATCGAACAGCTCGCCACCCTCACACAACTCCATAACCAAATGAACCGCATTGTCATCCTCACAAGCCTCCTTCAAGCTCACGATGCTCGAATTCTTCGGCAAATGCTTCATAATCGCCACTTCTCTCCTCACATCCTCCACATCCACCGCCGTCCGAAGCTTCCGCTTCGAAATCGACTTACACGCCAACAACTCCTTCGTGTCGCGTTCGATACACAGATACGTCACTCCGAACTCACCACGACCTAGCTCTCTATCCACCAAGTACTTATCTTCGATGTTCCCCTTCGACAAATCGGCTAACACAGTGATCGTCTTCTTGCCACCACCGGAGACGGCTCCGGAGCGGTCCTTCCGGCCGTGATCGTGGCCGGAGAAGTTCGAAGACTTGACGTCCTCTCGGGCGACGGCAGCCGGAGATCTGCAGCAGTTTCCCATGAAATCAAGCCAGATTTGAACGAATCGGATCTCACAAAACCCTAACCCTAAACCTAGCTACGATCTCACATGGTAACAATGAAGAAACTCTAACCCTACGAGTAGGGAGAGTAGAGTAGGAGCGAAGAGAATCAAAATGTGATTGATTTGGAGAGAGTGTGTGTTGTGTGTGAGAGACTGTGTTAGGTTCTGCAATTAGTGCTGTGTACGGTAACGGCTCAGATGCTTTTGCAGAGTTCTTTCGATTTTAATTTGCAGATATACACTACTATGTATGGTATAAATAGATATATAATACTCCGTAATTGCTTTGGTAGATTTTGATTTGCATAGGTACATAAAATTCAAAATACTAGCTTTTATGGGGTACTTTTTACATAAACAATATATACTGTATGATCTAAACGACTACATATGTAGTAATTAGTAATTGATTTTGTAAAGTTTGATTCTAATTTTCATATAGATATATGTATTGGTTGCTGTGAATTTTGTCGGCTAACAGAAGGGTGGGATGGGAAGTGGGAACGGGACGGTGAGGAAGAATAGGGTAGGTTTATATGTTGGATCTAGTGATGATGCATTGTTGTGTTAATGGATCTTTTCTCAGGCTATTTTAAACAAATACCTTTAGAGAAGGGACGGTGTGACAGGTTGTTAATTATGGGCCCCCAAGTTTGGCATATGGGCAACAACAATCAATAAGTAAAAGTTTTTCATTGGTACAAAGTTTGGAATCACCCTAATAATTTGAGAAGAGTTAAGATTTCACAATAATCTTAAACACCCTGACTAATAATTACATATATAAATGATTTTTTTATTTTTTATTTATTTCTTATGACAATTTTAAAATTTAATAATATTTTTGTTATTATAACTTTTAAATATTTGACTCTATTACAAAATATTACAAGTTTATATTTGTTCAAATTTGAATTGTATTTTTTTTTTTTTAAATATATATATCGGGCTCCCCAATTCTGATGCGGGGCGTTTCAAATCGTATTTTTTAAAGAAAAAAAATATTGATGAGTGGGTTTTGGAAAGAAGTGTCGCTCCCGAACTTGCCCTGTTGATATCCCTATCCATTAATTTATCAAATGAACCTTTATATTTATGTGCAACCTACAAATTATTTTAGTTTTTTATTCTCCATTAGCAAATGTATGGGGAAAAAAATAAATAAATAAGTGGCTAAAAAAATTTTGAAAAAAAGGGTTATGTGTGACTCACCTGACATACTAATACTATATTTGACCAATATTTGCTTTATGTGGATTGTGGACCAAGTTAGTTTTGGGAAAAAGTATACAAGGGACCCGTTTTTGGTATCAAAAAAAAAAAAAATTGTTTCAACTATTTTAAATCCTATAGAGTTTTTTTGTTGGAAACAGAGGCATTAAAAGTATAAATTATGGATGACTTTAAAATAAATTTCGTTAATAATTTTTTACGGATCTCTAGATGAGCGCATTTCTCCCCGTAAAGAGATGAACGTGGTATATTTACTTTCTCAAATCCGTTTCCGGATGAATAAGAAATTAACTCCAAAGTGTGGTGTTTTGATAAGCTTAAATGGGTATGCAAAATGTGGGAAGTGTTTGTCCCACATAAAAAAAAATGTTGAAACAATTTGAAATTTAAATAAGCTGAGTTTAGGATTTGAGCTTTGGCTTAATTGTAAAGTCCAAATTATTCTTTTTTGGAATTTTGGATTGGGCCTAATTTTAGGCTGGGCTTATTTAATGGGTTTTACAAATGGGTGGGTTTTTTGGGTGGTTGGTTTTTTAAATTAAAAAAACTACTTTTTAGTTTTTCTAAAAGGTTACAACTTTTAAATTAAAAAACCATATTTTAGTTATCTAAAAGGTTACACCTTTTAAATTAAAAAATCACTTTTTAGTTTTTTCAAAGGTTTACACCTTTTTCCGAACCATCATAACCTATGGTTACACCCACTCGAAAAGACACATTGCAACATATTAGAATGGATGTGCCTATTGGTGAACAGACACCATATGAACCATTGTAACCTATTGGAATAAATGTGTCTAGTGGTGAACAGACACCATGTGAACCATTGTAACCTATTGTAATGATTGTATCCAATAATGAAGAGATACACCCCATCCGAAAAGGCATTTCTGCTTCTATAAATACCTCCCTTTGGATCATTTGCAAGTGGTTCATTTTTCATTTTCTTCTATCTCCCTCTCTAGACTTGAACCCAACCCAAGTGGGTTCAAACCATAGGTTAAGTGCTCTGAACCACTTCGACCCTAATCCAATTTCATCGAGCCATATTAAGATTAGTCCGAACCATTTGATTCGGATTGCATCCAATTCAGCATTTATATAGTATATAGATGCATTTTTGAGTCAGAGAGAGTATTACACGGAGAAGGTTCGCCGTATCCACGAGTTTGAGTGCTGTTACTGGTGGATGTAGACCGTTGTATCCTGGGAGATAGACTCCACTGAGTCCGTTAGCACCATAGCGGGGCAAATCTGTCTTAAGGATATAGTATTCAATACTAGCCTCGGTCCAGGTTCTTTATTTATTATTTATTAATTTATTACTTTATTTTTCATATTTAATTAAATATATATTTGCATATTTAACTAATCATTTCTTAGTATATTGTTAATTATCTCATAGCATATTAGTATAAGGGTTGTTATATCTTAAATGTCACATGAAGCATATATTTTTACCAATAATCTTAAGACAGATTCGTTCCTTGGGTAGATTTTATTATATGCTTCTATTTAAGATATAAATAAATAGATATCATACTAATAGTTGAGATATAATAAAATAATATTTTATACATTATTATATGATAATATACTAAATATTGATGTGTTCAATATTATATGAAATTGAAGCATGTTATATAAATAGACAATTAAATTATTTATATATATATATATATAATTCAATATTGATTGAATTATTTTAATTTTGTAATATGATATTATGTAGTATATGACATTACCTTAAACATATGCCAACTAGAGGTGAAAAAATGTACTTCGTTACTTTTATCAATAGTTGCACAAAATACTGTTATGTATATTTGTTACGAAGTAAAGATAAATCTTAAAAATGTTTAAACATTACAAAAGTGAGGTTGAGAATTTGTGAATACAAAACATCATGTGCTGATATTTGTTTAGAATATGGTATCATTCACGAAGAAATGATGAATGCTATATTGATAAGTTCTGGTTTAACTCAGAATTTGTGGAGAGAAGTTCTGCTTAATGCAAATTATTTTACTCAATAAAATACCTCTAAAGAAAACGAATGTGACACTATATGAATTATGGAAAAGTCGAAAACCTTCCTATAAATTCTTTAAAATGTAGGGGTGTCTAACTAAGGTTGTACTTTCTCCTAAGAAAGTTAAAGTGAGACATATAATGTGGCAACCTTGTGGGTGGGTGTGCCGTGGGCGGGTGCAAGAGGCACTGATATGTTATCACATTGAGCAAGTTACAGGTGCACAGTCCCACACCACCTACGTAAGGGAAATGTAAAGTAATTTTATGTAGTGGTATTATCTCCAATTGGTACGAGGTCTTTTGAGATAAAACCCAATAACAAAATCGTGTGGGCTTGATCCAAAGTAAATAATATCATACTATGTGATAGAGTGGATCGTTACATAAAACCTTTGATAAGTTATAACATCAGTGCATATCATTTTCTTGTAAGCTAGAACGTTTACATCTTTTGGTCCTAATTTTTTAGTATGTTTATTGGAGAATGAGCCATAAATCTTTTTTCTTAAATTAATTATGTGATATAATTAATCATGTGATATAATATGAAACTATATTGTTATGCAAGTTCAATATTATTTTTACAAAAGTTTATTATTTGAGATTATAATATTGAGATATGTAATTGAATTACTTAGTGTACGTAGTAATTTAATTTTACAATATAGCTTATTTAATGTGTGATATTATTAATTTTGTATGAGTTCGTGACTGGTTTGTGTATTTAATACAACAGACAAAAATTGATTAGTCTAAGTATGTCAATTCTTCCAATAGTCAAGGGAGAAAGATCTATACTAGTGTCTAAGACACGTATATCTGTGAATAGGCTAAATAAGAAAAGATTTTCTGATAACTCTAAAGAGTTTAATGAAAAATGTTATGAATACACTAAGCTAGTACACCGAGACAAGCTAAATCAAACTAGTTAGCTCTAATGTACAATTTAGCTAAAAGCTAAAATGTTACTGAGTTGCAAACAAGGTAGCTTAGCTATAAGCTAAAATGATTAATGAGGTGCACAGAACCTAAGAGGAAGATGGAAAATCTGTTAGTTGGTTCTAACTCTCAACTTGGTAGTAAAAAACACGAGGGTGATGAGTAGCTATTTTAGCCATAAGCTATTTGAGCTATTCATCATATCTGCTCATGTAGGAGGGAATAATACTACTTGTAAAGTAGTAGTTTTTGAAGAATATTCTTCAAAACAAATTACTCCATTACCAAGGTAGACTACTTAGATAAGTGTGTACTAAAGTTAACAAACTTAAGTTCAAGCTAGCGGTAATAGCTGAAAAGTGGGTGCTCTTCATAACCTAGTAGTGAGATATGAGAAGAGTGTACTTAATCTAAGCTAGTAATGATAGTTAAGAACTCACTTTTAACTAGTAATGATAGCTAAGAAGTGAGTGCTCACTCTGTGGTGATTGTATCCAAAGCTTAAATAATAAGATAATTATTTGCTTAAATGATTGAGTTATGTGATGTGTGACACATGAAAGGTTATAACATGTTAATATGACTGACTTAACATGAACCTAAACATGAATAACTCAATTTATAAATATAAAAGATGTAAAAACAAATATTAATTAGAGCCCATTGTAATTAATATCTTTAGCATTAATTCACGGTAATGTCGGTGAATTATTATAAGAATATGCTAGAGATAAAGTGAGTACATATGCATTAGAGACTGTTATATATGCTTGTTGAGAAGCGAATATGGAACCTTGAAAAGGTAGATGAGGTGAAGTATTTAATATATGGTACTTTCATAGTTGAAAAATTATAATAAATACATTAAAGATAAAATTTCAGGATTATCCCAAAGTTGTGGGGAGATATTATCCATAGATGAAATTTGTTACAAGTCACTCATCTTAACAGAAATACTTATAAATGTGGGGGGTTCCAAGTCCTAAGAGCTTTAAGATAGAATTAAAAATCATTTATATTATTATAACAGTAATGCATATTATTTCCTACGAGGAAAATATTATGGAACAACTAGAAGAGTTCTTTTTTCAGTTGAAGTGCTGAGTTATTTGTTCCAGTTGAAAAGTCAAGTGTGCAAGCTTATAAGTCATTGAATGGATTAAAGTTACTACCGAGACAATGACATAAATATGATGCGTAAATCATTGTATGCCTTAAAAAATAAATGATATACTGATTGGTATATTTGATGTGAAAGATTTAACATATGATAATATAGTATATTCTCAATAGAGTGAAATTGAGATAATACTAGTTATGATAACAAAAGCCTAGCTAACTTTTGTAGATGTAAATTTCA